TTATTCTATTATCTGTTAAACTAGATAGTTAAAAGCAGGGCCTTCTACCCCCTCCCCCCCCGGTAAGTTTCGTGAAGATGTGTAGCAAACTGATTTATCTTTTTCCTCTGGATTTTGTGTTTGAGAAAATGGTTTGAATATTGGAGAAAACCAAGATGTTTTGTAAACTAAAAATGGCAATTCCAACATTTTTTGTTGGAAAATGCAGACCTTTTTATTTGAACAATTTCAGATAAAATTTTTTGGACTTGTGTATTGTTTTAAAAACTATTTCAGATTTTCTTTTTCCTTGGAAAAGAATAAGAACATCTACATTACTTATACTGTTTTGGGCACTACATGTTGTCCTTTTTGATAAAATATTACTGTAGTTTTTTTTTCCAGTGGTTTCTGTTTCTGAAGAAACTGTTGCTGCATCAGCATTGCATTAATGACTGGATGTTCACTATTGGTTATGGTAAAAGAACTTAGTCTTATAAATGTTTTTTCAATAGTGACAACTGTGATGAAAAATGCTAGTGGATTTTGGGTTCAGTAAAAGTAGTTCTAGTGTATCAAGATTATCCTGCATATTACTGCAAAAGATAGTATTTAAAGATTGTTTTACAATTATTCTTGCATATGTGGCTAGAACTGGTCTGCCTTAAACATTCATCACTGTGTTTCTTCAGGTGTTGAACACTGAACTGGTCTGCCTTAAACATTCTTCATCACTGTGTTTCTTCAGGTGTTGAACACTACTAAAATCTGTTGATCTTTTGCTAAGTCGTTATCATGACAGTAAAAACTTGAAGTGTTCAACCACACAGCAGTCACCTACTGTACACAATAAAACTTCATGAGCTACAGATTGAACTGTAGCTATGGGATTACATATTCCCCAGTGTTACTGTTATAGAGCAGAGATGAACTGCCATATCATTAACATTGTATAAGAAGAAGTCATATATGACACCCTTAAAGCAAGCTAAGCATTAAATACACATTTTACTACTCTTTTAAAGTTTTCTGTCTCTCTTTTGAGGTAGCAATGAAAATTCATCCATTTTGTCTAGGATGTACTGCTGGCTACATACCATAACTGATGTTTCTGCCTATTACAGGTCTATAAGCTGTGTTAAAAATAAGACAAACCCCAACACCTGCATTTTTCAAGCTGTTAGGCAGAGATAGGCATTGGCTTGGCAGCTTGTCCACGTATCAATGTCAAGATTTATGACTCTTCTGTTGCCTTATCTGAGAGCATACTGTACATTCCTCAATTTGATTATTAATGAGGCTATCCTGAACAGAAGTACAACAGCAGTAAAGAACAGCCTACTTGGGAGGGAACAACATGACTCAATATGCTATAACAGGTTCTGGAAACCACTATCCCTTTATAATTGAACATACAAGTGGAAAGCCAATACTTTTTGTCCATTTCCTTTCCATTTTATAAAGAAATTCAGTGTAGTCTGGGGCTTGTCTCCCAGTATTGAGGTAATGGATTTATACAATATTTTCTGTAAAAATACTCAAAGTACTTTTTTTTGCTATTATTCACATATTCACTGACAATTGTAGGAACATAACAGTAAGGCCAAGGCAGTCTAAAGTTACCAAATAAGTTTCTACTTGCATCTTATGCAGCAATGGAGAAAGTACCCTTTAAAACTTCCCATTCCTGTCAACGTCTGAACTAATTTATGTGCCTTTGCTAAGCATCCTGGAAATATCTGAAGTGTAGACTTCCATGCACACATAAAAGGGCTCTCATCTTGAGACTGAGGAGCTGTTTTATGACTATAATCTGATATTCAGAATGCAGAGGTGTCTGCTTAAGCTCCTACTCTGCTTAGTGTGTGAGTTCAATTTAAACTGCTTAGTTATTCAATTAAAAAAAATGGTGGTGCCCTGTATTCATTATTAGGTTGGCCAAAGCAAGCAGCTGTTATTCACTATGGAGGAGCCTGGCATTTTCAGATAGTTTGTATATTAGTAGGACATGGTGCACTTTGAGAACCTGTTGATATGAATCTCTTAGTGTGAAGGTTAAGATGAGCCTACACCTACATGCTAGTTATGCCATGTTCCTTTTCTGCTGCTTTAGCAGACGGATACAGAAGTAACTTAAAACTGAAATTAAAGGAGCCTAGTGGAAGTTTGACATCCTACAGGTTAGAAAACAGCTAGGAAACTGCAAATATGTGGTCTAATCTATATTCCTTTAGGGTTGTTGTTTTTAATTCTGTGTCTATTTAGTGAAAAATGAAAAATGTGAAAATATTCAGGAGCAGGAATCAGAAGCTATGTTTTCCTTCCTCCTAGCAAAATATCCTAATCATAGAACAACAGAAACAACTTATTCTACTTCCGTTTTCCTTAGGAATGGAAATTTACCCTAAGGCAGACAGACTATATGCTGCCAGCTTTGCAGGGGATACATTTATGACAGGGACAGAGAATGTGTGAGTGAAGGAAGAAACTACTGAATGGCGCACACGGGAAATTACACATCTTTGCCACTCACAGGAGACAGATAAAGATTTTGTCATCTTCATAGAATTGTCTTACTGTGTGAGGAACTGTCACCAGCATTAGGAATTACCCAGATATGAGAGTTCAAAATCTATTTTATTTTTTTTTATCTTGTGCTACGAGTAGTGGCTGCATCTTTGACAAAGAATGCCCCATCTAAAAAATATAGAAATGAGCAGAATGAAAAACATAGGAATAAAGAAGGAAGATTATATTGAGCTTCAGACAAATTGAATCTTACAATCTAAAAATTTCAAGGGGAAGAAAGATGTAGTGATGCTTATTTGTCTTTATTAATCCACTGTAACTTAGGATATAATCTTTTTTTTTTAATAACTGTTTGTGTGATACTGGTTTATTCAAATGCATTTTAATAACTGCTTTCCAGATACCTTAGGAAAGCTTATAAAATCTATCTTAATTTTCATTATGCTCATGGAAATGTCTTTTTATTTTTTTTTTTCACTTTATATCTATACTTATTATTATTCATTTATTTTTAGCTTTCTGCATCAATTTTAAAATAGTTTTCCCCAAATCAAAATACGATCTTCCTTTATGTCACAGTTTGATTTATAATGTTTAGATGCTGTAAGTCTTAGGCAACACAAAATCTTTCCTTTTAGACTATGTTTTCCTGAACAGAGCACTTAATTAATTTGCCTTTCATATTAATATTGCATTATTGTGCAAACACGATAATTTTTTTCAGTTTTAAAGTGTACTAGGCCTATATTTACTTGAATGTTATCCAAGTTTCTTTTGCTTTAGCTTCTGAAGTATTGTTAATATTGTTTACTGATCATATATACATTCTGTACTCAATCAGTTTGGATCATTTTGCTAGGTATCTACATTTTTTTTAAGCATCTGTCTCTCCCATCAGTGTTTCATTCTCGGTTTTAAATGACTAACGTTTAAATAATTGTTGCTCACATCTCATCTCAGTGATTAGTGCTTGTGCTTTGAAATTAATATTATTTGAACATCTGCCCCTAGAGTTCTCACCAGGAATTTAAGGGCTCACCTGCAGAAAAATACTTAACACCTCCATCCTGTAGTGAGAAACAGGTTGAAAGAGGCAGAAGGCTTGCAAAAATGAAAAGCAATTTCTTATTTAGTAGTATCAGAAAGGG